GCGCACAGTTTAAATGACTATGAATATAGTATATACATATGTGTGTGTATATATATATATATATATATATATATATATGTATGTATGTATATATGTATATATATATATATATATGTATGTATGTATATAATTCATAATTTCGAAAAGTTTTTAATTAATTAACTAATTTGAATTAATTTTTATTGGGAAGTGAAAAATATACAATAGAAACTGTAAAACTCAATTAATCCTATATTTCTATATCGCACTGTCCGATTTTTATCATCGTTCTTCTGCACCATTTTAACACTTTGCGTACATATATTTCAGTAAGTAAAAATCTAATATCTTATCATATATGGCAACGTTTCATTATATATGAATGTTAAGAACAATATTTTTTTGTATCTGCAAGAATACAAGTTAAATATTGATACATGTGTGTGTGAATACAAAAAACATTTAAGAGATTTCATTTTTACATTATACAATATTGTTTAACGAAATATACATACTGCAGAGTTCGGAGTTGAACTCCGATTTTCGGACAGTGTCAAAGTGTTAAAATAGATAAGTCTTCCTTCTTTTGTTTTTCTTACTGCGTTAACAATATATAAGAGATCATTTTTTAATAGATTAAATTAACTCGATAGTAAAGCTAAATTAATTTCTTTAACCATTTTAATACGATATAACATTTTGATGAGCTGTTCCTTCGCGAGGGGTGATGTCGAATACCATACCGGACTATCTGGGACGCAACTACGTTCTGGTAATAGATAGAAGACATCATTTCTCGTCTTAACGCTTTCAGGGCTGAAATATTTCAAATGCAAGATAGTGTAACATAGCAATCAAAATTTACGCAATAAATTAAACTTAATGTTTTTGTTTGTTCAGTCATAATATACATACGTACCATTTTGATAAGTAGAATTCGTATAATTTAACAGGGCATTTCAATGCATTCTCCTCATTTTCTTGTTGTTCATATACCTTCTTTTTCCGTGAATTAGCTTCTTTAAAAAGGAGTAATAAATAATAAATAATAATTTGTATCAATAAATCAACATTAACTAAAATTTTTATGGTAT